CTGCATACAAATATTGAAAAAGCATTTGTTGAATAAAACAGCGATTTACTTGATCTTGTTCACTGTTAAATAAGAATTATTTGTAGTGATTTATCCTATTAGTGCTCAATGCTACAATATGGATCACAACAATTTTACTACTCTTGAAAGGAGTACAACACTAATAGTATTGCGATTCTGTAGTAAGTAAACTGATGATGGTCATTGAATTTAATTGCTTATGTAATAGGTAGGAAGGTCGTGTTTTATAAAATAATTTTCAATGTTGAAATTTTAACCGAATATTCACGCTTCACAAGTATTTAAACATGATTCACTAAATATAGTTCATATTCTAGGTAATGAAATACAACTTATAGGAAAACTAAGCACCTATTTTCCAATGAAAAGCCGCTTTAGAACTTTTTATATTTGTATGAACTATGTGCCACATAATTTTGTCGTAAACTTCCATGAAGGTTATATACAGACACTAATCGTTTACTCCTAAAATACATATTTAATGTTATCATGAAAAGAATTGAGAAGTGTGTGTTGAAGTGAATGTGCAATATTTTTTATATATTTTTCCTAATTTTATAACGTTAGGCTTAGGCGTCACTGCTCCTAATAACACGTGACTGATTACTTCATCCGAGCATTGTATCATTAGGAGACTAATTCTTTTCCTACATCTGGGCTTTGTTGGATCATTCTTAATAGAGTCCTTTTCTCGAGGGGGAAAAATCAGTGGGACAAGTGGGAGTATCAGACTCTTACTGACTGAAAACATCCATGGCCCTCTACGGTGCCCCTGTGTGGGCGCCGGACTTGAAGCGGCGGCCGGCTCGTACGCTGGTCGCGGCGTCCTCACCTTCCGTCTGACGCAGGTGCTTACCGGGCACGGCAGCTTCGGTAGGTTCCTGTTTCGGATTCAGCGGGAGGAAACGCCCGAGTGTCGTCATTGTGAGGACCACCTAGAGGATACGGTGGAGCATACGGTAGCGGTATGCCCTGCCTGGGCTGAGCACCGCCGTATCCTCAGGGAAGTGATCGGCGTCGGCGACCTCTCGCGCCCGGCCTTAGTCGAGGCCATGGTGCGGAGTGAGAGGAACTGGGACGCCGTCTCCTCCTTTTGTGAAGCAGTCATGCTCGCAAAGAGAGAGGCGGCCCGCGTGAGGGAGCAATCCTCCTCATCACGCCCCAGCAGCCGCAACTGGCGACACTACGGGCGTCGGGGATCGAGGGACGATCTCCGGCCACCGTAAGCACGGGCCTGCGGTCGGCGAGTAAGGGCAGCTCGCCGCCCGACCAGAACCAGGCCCGAGCGTACGGCGCGTAGCGTTCCGCGCGCGCCTCAAAGAGCCATTCGACCACCACAGACGGGGCCCTAAAGGGCTGATGTTCAGCCGGGGTTGCGGGGTAAGCGCAATGAGGTACCCCGACCTCGGCACAGAGCAGGAGAAGGAACAGGGGGGTTTTTAGTCAGTAAGAGTCTGACACTCCCTCCTGCCCGGCCCTGGGCGGGAGAAGTCATTTGATGATTTTCCCCTCTCAAAAAAAAAAAAAAAAAAAAAACTGACTGAAAACCACCCCGTTCCTTCTCCTGCTCCATGTCGAGGCCTCATCGTTGGGCCTCACCTGTGGTGGTATGGTTTTGTTTGGGCAGCGGGCTACCATTGCTCCACCGCGTTTACGGTGGCCGGAGATTGTCACGCTATCCCCGACGTCTTCTCAGTAGTGTTTAAGAACATATTTTATCATTATAAAATTTTACCTCTTTATTTGCACACTATTTAAGTCTAGTGCATCAAAGCCCGCTTTGTATGATCTTTCCCTACATTCAACGGTCAGTTAAGAAAGAAGTGTGAGAGAAAGTCGAAGAAGCGTGCAATTAAGTGTGGGGATGGTTTAGCTAAAACAGAAGGTTTTGTTCCCTACACGTATTCACACTTATGCACGCACTTATTTAACAAAAACAAAACACGTATAAAACAGAATTTAAATAACAAACAAAATATTGCAAATCTAAAATTATATATTTTTCGATAACTGTTCCATGGAATTTGGACAAAAGGATTGATTACATTTAATCAATCTAAGATAAATATCGAAAACGATTTTATCCACATACTCGCCGTCCATAAAGCGGGCATATTTTTAATCCATGTCTTACCACTACCTATCAAATGGGAATATACGTGATCTGGAATAAATATCTGTTAGTCATGAATATGTAGTACCTCGCGGGTTTAGTACGAGAAAATTTTGGCTTTTGTGCTCTTTAAGTCAATTGAACCATTTTTATTTAGATTATTTTCTAATAGCACAAATTTAAGAACCATACCAAATAAAAAAACATACATTGGAAAAGCATATAAAATGCGTCATAAAATCGTAGAAATCAGTTTTATAAAAGCTAACACAGTAATTTAGAGGGCCCGTACGTACGTACCAAGTAAAGTAGATTCATATTTTTCACACATGCCACTAATGTATCTATCCTAAAATAATTACGAATAAACACTAATGACACATGAACAATTGCATTATATCGCATCATTTACGTCCCCTTCACGGCGTATTACCTTCCCTTCAGCTAGTAATTGATTTGATCCCTTACACTACATCTACCCTCAATTAGGAGATCTGACCCAAACGTTTCAACAAATCTATTATGACCTAATTGATCGACCATCGATATTATCTTAATTTAATGAATAATAATTTTATGCTAATAATTTATACAAAATGAATTATGGGTGAAGTATTTTCTTGCATCATGAATTCATGATAGATCAAGTCATTTCGAACAATTCTGTTCCGGTGTGAATTGGCGGCTGGTGCTGCAGTCCGGCCATAGCGGCAAGTTACGACAAGATCAAGATCAAGATACGTACGAAATCTTGTGAACGATCCATGGCTTCGACTATTATTCATCAAGATTTTGTTTTCCTAGAAAAAAACGGGCTTGTACTGAGAACTTGCGTTTCTATTCTTATCATGGGACTAACTTGTTAAAAATATACCTATATTAACATCATAACTGACAAACTCTCTGCACTGAACTCAAATACTAGACAGACCCTCCCCCTAAATGACCCACAGAGAAATTTCAAGTGCAAAGTTATCGATTACACAATAATCAACTCCTATGTTTATTTCGAGTAATCATTAAAGGTCTGTTTAACATCGATATCATTCGTGTCTACACTACAAAGAAGATGCTGTAGATAAATTCCAACTATTTACAATCGTCTGCTTACATTCAAACAGTATTTAGAACAGCTTAGTACTGATCAGCACATGAAGCTACCCGAAATTACGTTTCTTTGCTGAAATTTAAACTTTGTACTTAGGTACATAAAGTCGTAAATTGATTGAATAAGACCATGCAACAAGATTGTATAGCTTGAGATGCTATCATCTGTACATTTCTATGCTGATTGGGAAAAGACCTTGTGTGTCTAAACGTTCTTTACCATACTGGGAAGACGTAATAGTTGGAAATGCTCGACTAGCCTGTTTTCGCTAATTAAGTCCTTTTACGGCGTAATGTCCAGCTAACGTTTAAATTTATATCTCGTTCTAATGTTTTTAGTTCAATAAAAAGTAAGACGAGATGAGAAGTAGGTTATTTACCAAGCATATAGAACTAGATTAATATATAATATATATATAAATATTAGGTACTAGTGATTCCCAACGAATAAGTAATAAATGTTGCAAAACAAACACATTTTTTGTAAAGAATAATTTGTATTCAATATTAAATTCGCCGTAGTTACTCAGTAATGACGTAGTTGATAAAACTACAATTTATTTTATAACAACTTTTGCAGGGTGCCATCAACACATACACACAATGTAATGATAATATGCAAGTTTACCAGTTACCGACAAAGTTTGTCGCCGTGGTATAACTTGTTTATAAGTTGCTCCTGTGATTTACAATGTTGGTGATGACAATGTTGATAAATATTTTCATAAAATTTTACTAATTTTGTATCAGCCTAAAACTACTCCTTACCTTCGAAATACGACGCACCTGCCAAACGCGATCATGTCATTGTCAACAAAAGTTTTTTAGTAGAGTTATTCGGACTAATTTCTGGATATCTAACTAATTTGAATACAAAATTCAATTAAAAAAATGAAATGAAATTTGGACTATACGAAATCGATCTATTAAACACTTTTTGATAAGTAAAATTATCAGTCAACAACACTTTTTTGACTACGACTGCTTGAAGCTGAATTAATCCTCTTTCGTATTTTTGAGTTCCAAAATGGCACCCAGCTGCAAAACCTCATCATCAGATGAAACGCAATACATCTCGACGCTCATTAACCAAGTTACTTTTATCCTCTCCACACGAGGCGCTTCTGTTTATTATTGTTACACAATACTCCTGTTTCTGTTTCTCAATGTTTGTAAATAATTTAGTACCCGACGTGTAATAAATTTAATTACTTGTCAAAACACAACTTAATTTTACTTCTGTATTCCTCATTGACTTTACATACAATGTATGAAGGTAGTGAGTCTAAAGTATGGAGTTATGCTTCGTGACGAAAGTGCCGACTTCATCAGAGTGACACCACGAAACAACCTTAGCTTTATATTTGCCTTAGCCTTGATGGAGATTACTGGAGACCAAATCCTTTCCCAAGTCCTAAATCCCCATAACACAATCCAGAAAAGGCCGGCAACGCACTTACAATTCCTTAGGTGTTACGGGTGTGGGCGAACATATGGATTACCTTACGATATTTGCCGCCGTATTCCATAAAAAATCTTAATTATCCGAATATCTAATAGGTATCATTTTTACATAACTGGATAAATAAATATTATAGCTCAGTAGGGACACTCAATTCCAATATCATTCAAAATATAAATGAAGATAAGAAACTAAGAAAATCTTCCGGACGTGAATTCCCTTGATGGTATGCAAAGTTAAAGCTAGGTATACATTTTGCATAGCGGAATGCTATCAGTTCTTTATCAGGAGCGGGCAGTGTGAGGCCGGCTACGGCATGGGACACACGCGCGGACCGTCGCGCCGTAGTTCTACCGTCTTCGCGATTTACGTAAACGCGATCGCGACTTAGTGTTTTTATGTGTGGTAAGTATTTTGTTTTGAAATAATATTTAAAATTTTATAATTAATAATGAAAATCAGCACAACTTATGCTTATATCAAAAAATTAATTGGATCCGACTTACGTTGTATTTATAACATTGATAGAGACTAAAAAGTTTTACGTTCTTCTAATATTTAGTAAAAAAGTAGATGTTTTTGATAACATATTCAATAAACAGTAGTTATAAAAATATATTTTAAAACGTTTTAATTTATTTTCAGCTAAAATTAATTTTTTTTAAAATGTTTATTTAAGGAAATATAAAACCGACATCCAAAAGTATATACATTTTATTACATAAAATAACCTACTCCATTCAACAAGGAACACAATTTACTATATCATGTTTCAGTGAAATTTTCGTTGCTACACTTTTGGTCCATTCATTAAATTAATTTTAATTCATAGCTTAAATTTCAGCATGCAATCCACACCCTACCTTAAAATATTAATTGGAAACCTTGTATATAAATTCATGCGCAAACACTCGCATTTTAAAAACGATGTTCCTTTTGTTTTTATTGTTTGATGTTTCAATTAATTTCGATTTCGATGGGTATAGGAGCATTTGTTAATCGATTTTAAGAGATTATAGTTTTTTCTTGTATATTTTTAAAATTATTATTTACTAGCGACTCGCCACCGGTTTCGCACGGATGCTATGTTGATACTAAATATCTTCGCTATGTAATGGATGTTATCATACATATAAACCTTCCTCTTCAGCTTTTCTGTCTTTTAAAAAACTGCATCAAAATTTGTTGTGTACTTTTAAAGCTTAAAGCATACATAAGGATATAGAAACAGAAAAAGCGGCTGTGTTGTATGCTATGTAGTGATAGTGATTCCACGAAAATTACATTAGTAACGGTAACAAAACAAATAGATAACAAGATCGAACAGTAAGTAAGCAGTGTTTATTACAACTCAAAATGAAAACAATAATTCACTGCATTACGCGTAACAATAAATATTCAGTTTCAGTAACAATCAAGGACGTATGTATATATCTCCCTTAAGGCAAGAGTAAAATAGGCAACTTCTCACCACATAACCATTTGGCTGAGCACTTAGGAATCGTGTAATTGATTATAATGAATGTTTCAATGTTTTGCTCCATTGTAAACAACGGTATGTATTGTATGGCTATAGTTTTAAATTTTCTTTTAATTCAATAGTGAACAGATTGCAATATATGTTTTTTTTCTAAAAACAATGATTAATATTCAAAGTTTGAATTTATATGCGAATGGAAAAAGATCAATGTTCCGTTTTTTTGTGTAAAGATATGAATCATTTTACTCAACAGTAAAAAATGCTGAAATTATAAAATAAAAAAAAGTGCCGTGAAAATGCTTATAGGAAAGAAATCCGTTAAAAACAAAAATACAACACAAAAAAGCAATAAAAAGGTTTAAATGAAAGAAAAACAAAAAAAAACGCAAAATTATAGCATATGGTTAAACAGGCTAATAATAATAGAAAAACATGCTACGCGGGTTGGCAGTCATTCCCAATTCGAATGGGTCGCCAACTAAGCAAAAGTCATTAAGAAATACTTCCTTTAATATTTAGAAATAGATTCGTGAAAGATAGTATTAAATGAATAAGAGTTGTATTATGTTTTAGCCTTCCCTCTCCACTTGCCCAATCCTAAAATTTCCAATCTTAAAATCCCTTACCTCCAAAAAGGCCGCAACAATCTTGTAACTCCTTTAGTGTTTTGGTGCTCATAACTGTGTCGATTGCTTACCATCACATCATACATTATTTTATTTCGTGTTATATTCATTATTTTAAGTGTGGGAGAGCAAAGCTTCGGCACGAATGGGTCGGCTCGACCGGAGTGATACCACGGCCTCACAGAAAACCGGCGTGAAACAACTACAACGTTGTGTTTCGCCGTGTGAGTGAGGTTACCGGAGGCCCAATCCTTCCCCTCCCCTAAATGTCCAAAACCCTAATCACTAAAAGGTCGGCAACGCACTCCTAACTCATCCGTTGCGGGTGTCCATGGGGTCCATGGGGTGTCTGATTGCTTACCATCAGGTAATCCGTCTGCTCGTTTACCTACACGTTACATATAAAAAAATACATACGTCTGCTCGTTTGCCATCTAATTCTCTAAAATAAAAAAAAAATATAAAATAATGTGTAAATGTGAATGTGAATGATGTGATATGAATGTGTTAGATTTTCTCATGAAGAACAAAGATTATAACGACAACGCAAAATTAATTTACAAGTCCTAATGCGATGCAAAATTCTCAATAAAACTTCTTAAGTGCAATAGGAAGTAAGGAGGCTTAATTAAAACTTGAAATCTGCATAGTTGCCTGTAGACGCTAATACAGGACCTTGGCATAAAATAAAAAAAATCTTACAATTTTTATAGTGTTTTGTTTATTTATTTATTTGCTTTTTTAATAGTATATTAATTTTATTGTAAGTATGGTTGAATGGATGGATGTTACTTACGTTTACGTATGTAAATTACGTTATCTTCCGCGTATGTCTCTTTCACTTAAAACTACTAAATTAAAGTAAACAGAAATTTGGAATAGCAAATAGATTATATTCTGAAATATCATACAGGTGTTTTGCCCTTTAGATTGCAATAAGCCCTAACTGATTTTTGAGTGACACTAAATATTTGACAAGAAACAAAATTATCAATAATAAACTTTGCAATACCAAGCAATTAGTATTTTGAGATTTTGAGGCGGTACGGAATACTAGTCGGTAAATTATGTAAGTACATTACATTAACTCCTGGTAATATTTTTTCTAAATCTACTTTTTACATAACTTTAATCTACTTTAGAACATTAAAGTCAAAGTAAGAAGTTATAACAACATTTCCTTAACTGGCCTCGTACCTTTTGTCTTAAAATATGGAATTACCTTTTTTTACACAAAAATGCCTCATTTTTACCATTATGATTATTTTTTTCACGACTATTTTATCGCGGTTCAGAGACAGCTAGAATGCGAGGCCGCATTCCGGAAGGGCCTACAAAACTGTGAATGGAGTGTGAAGTAAATGGAGTTCTCATGTATGAATGTGTGCGTAATACACTTCTCATTACTTCACAAAAAATCCTTACCTCTTCTGGTAATATTTCAGGAATTTAAAGTGTGGTCGGCTCGACCGGAGTGATACCACGGCCTCACAGAAAACTGGCGTGAAAAAACCACAGCGTTGTGTTTCGCTGTGTGAACGAGGTTACCGGAGATCCAATCGTTCTCCAATCCCTAATCCCCTAAAGGTACACACACACAGGAACACTCGTAACTTCTCCATTGTTGCGGGCGTCTATGGGTGGCGCTGATTGCTTGCCATCAGATAATCCATCCGCTCGTTCGCCGACCTATCACAAAAAAAGGGAATAAATAAACACAAAAATAAAAACACGTAACACAATTATATAAATAATTGCGACTAACATAAATAAATAAAGTAATAGTTTTTTTTTGCAAAAGTATGTATGAATTCCTATTACATGAAACCAAATGAAAATAAGTAAGCGTTACATATTTCAAGAGCTATTAAGTCAGACTCGTTTTCACCTCATTTACACTTATTCCTAGTTCGGTAGTAAAACGTTCTGCGAATGTAGTTTGCCGCAAGAAATATGAAGATTTTATTACTAACTAAACTGAACTTGTTCAATCTTCGTGCCATGTCACTAGGTACATATCGACATGAAGTATAAGTATTTTCCGGTCTTTTTGTATATATTAATATAAACAATTAATTAGTATGCGTACTGTTTGCGTTTTCAATAAAGGCCAGTAAAATAATAAAAAAAAAATTAAGTGGGGTTAAAACAAACTGAATTTATTAGATACCACATTTTACACGTAGGCGTCGTTTTAGTCAACATACTTTACCGCGTAATTTTAACTGGTTTACTTAGGAATAAAATGTTTTAGAGGGTTTCGTAAAATGTCACGCAAAAGGTTCTATTTTACAGTGCGAATGAATGAACGAGTTAGAAAAATTATGTGATGGATATGAATAATGTTTTACAGCTGACTGTAAAATATATTTTTAACGTGTGAACATTCGGGGACTGTGGAGCGTTCAAATGTTGGCACCATTAACTTGGACGAATGTCTCCTGTCTACGCTGTATGTGGACAGAGCGTGGGTCCGGCCGGCGCTAAATTAACAGCTGTACCTACTATTACGCGCCATTTTTTTTTTGTAAAGTCTACAAGTTATGGATATTACACTCCGTTGCGTTACAAAATAGAACAATAGGTACTCGTAACAACAAAAATAAAGTTTCGTATTCGGTTGAAATGCAGAAATAAAAGTTTATTGCGTGAAGTTGCACGGATTCCTCGGATGCAAGCGTAATTTGTGCGTATTCGGTATAGAGTTTGCTTCCAATTTCGTTTCGGTTCTAATAATATTGAGCTGCAAAAAGTTAACAATAAAATAGTATTCTTGAAGCACAATTCCTGCAAAAGAATGAAGTCGGACAACTGATAGATAAGTATAGAGTTAATAACTTCAAAGTTATAAAGAACAAATACAGTTCAAGGAGCTATTTCAATAGTTTTCTTGATAACGGATTAAGTACTGTTACCTGCATTTTGTGTTTTGCGTGGTGAAGATATATCTGATCTAGATCGCTGTATAAAATAATTAAGGTTTAATTAAAATGGATATAAATTACAAAACAGTTTTTTAAATTAACCACTTATCTGCCGGTATATAAAACACAATAAAAAACACATTGTATTTCTAATATATAGATTTGCGCTCTGTGATCTGCAATACTACTACCTCTGCTGTTGGCCTAAGGTTTCTTCTCACATGTAGGAGAAATAAGCTATAATCACCACGCTTGCTCAAGGCGGATAAATTATTTCAAATTCGAAAAGGAGGTCCAATAGCTTCCACATGATATGTTCCTTCGCCGTATGTCAGTAGTGTCTAAATAATCTTTCTAAGTATACATACAGCTCGG